GAGTCGCGCGAGAATTGGCTCTCAAAAATTAATTTCGCCTTGACGATGCATTCGCCCTCAAAGGTAAAATTACGAACAAAGCCAAAAGAATGACCTTGCTTAAACGGTTGAAACCCACGCCCCAGATGGCTAAGGGTTAGAGCAGAAATCTTAGCATTAAGCCTAAGAGAAACTGTTCGACAACTCATCATACTGAGGAGAATAGTATGGCTAGCCCGATTCAAACGGTAATCGGTAAAGGCACATCAAACCCGTTGATAGCTGAGGGTTTGCTAAAAATCCTAAGAGAAATCGAAGGCACTTGCTTCGCCAACAGTTTCTTCATTCAAAGTGTTCCAGACCACACGCAAGCCAGTTTAGGTCCGAAAACTTTGAAGGGGGTCTTGTAGACGGTAAAAAATACCTCTATGGGTCTACAGGGAATTTGTCTACGAGAAGAGTTCGCACGCCCAGTTCTCTGACACGGACCTAAACCGCGTAGACGTCGACTGTGCTCAAATCCAGGTTCGCCTAACGGTCGACTCGCCAGCATGAGTCAGGAGCGATCAGGATGGCGGAAATTTGCTCTTCGCTCAACTCGCCTGCCCGAGTTCGGAGTCGAATCCGCCAGCAAGCCCCAAAACCGTCAGTACAGCTGGGTATCCACTACCCCACGTGCTGAGGTGGGCCTTCCCACCTCTCTCGACCCAAAGGGAGAGAGAGCACAGTACCCCAGGGCCGTCAAAACGGCCGCCCACAGTGCGCACAGCGCGAAGGAGCTGGACAGGTGTCGAGTCAACCTGAGCATTCATAAATGCGACTCACCTCGGCTGTCTGAGTCTGGAGCTGGGTCCGCCGGCACTCGGCAAGCTGGCTAGACTCACTCGAGTACTGTACACCTACTTCACCGCCTCTCCTGACCGGAAAGGAGAAAGCGTCGTGCTCAAAGCACGCCGGGCGGTCACGCACAGTACTGGTGATCGGACAGACGCCTCATCGATCTGCGGACTCATAAATGCGGTTCATTAATGCTGGTCAAATCCACTCGGATAGTAGTCGTTTGTTGCCTCACATACAAGAATGGGCCTTCCCATCGTAGGTGACAGGACATAAAGCACAATCCCTGGAATGACCGATCATGGTTTCGAGGAACAGCTAGACGTCTCTGAAGAAGATGTGGTCACATCCCACAATTCAAGGAGGAGTCAAGTTGTCCTTCTCCCATTTAAAAGCCTCTTCCGGCACACTGGAGAGGGGGTCGCAAAACTTAGGAGGTCGCAAAACTTAGGGGGTCGCAAAACTTAGGAAAAAGAGTTGAGACCAAGCTCTCTGCACAACTTTCTTTGCATTGCAGCACTACTGCTTAGTTCCGAGCTCCGATCGCCGGCGAACTAAACAGACCCGAACTCTCTCAAGTTGAGCTTCTACTGCGAACTGAAGCTCTCCAGCAACCTCATTCGAACGGTCCAAGGGAAGCAGACTCGACCCGAGCATCGAGCGAAGCATCCTGTAGCCACCTAAAAGTCCCCACACAAAACAAAGAGGGCCTTCCCTCTGCTTCTGTTGTAACTATTTGATCATTAGTTTGTAATAAGCCTTCTTATAAATACAAACGAAACTCCCTCTTTCGGGAAATCAAATATTCACCCTACACCGACCTGGTTTTAGCGCTGAGGCTGAAACCAGGTCAGTTTCTGAAAATAAGTTGAAAATGAGTATTTTTTTGGGATTAAAAGTCCAAAGAGGACTGTTTTGAAAATTTGTCATGTCTTTTATGAAAGCTAATATGGGAAACAATTCGTCATTTACTCGCCGAAGCATTGTTGAAGCTCGCCCAGTTTATTGCGAGATGTTTAGTTTGGCGAATAAGCGACGGGTCCACAGCCCGCATGTGTGAAGATGCATGGGTTTTTGATGGCAAGAGGCTGATTAATCTCGGTGAAGGATTTTGATTCAGGCTTTTTGAATCTAATGTTAGGGGTTTTGTTGATATTTAGAGCATCTCCAACAGCTTCCTCATTTTCCACTTTTGGAGAATATAGTTAGGTTTTTGGTCCAACAGATTCTCCATCTCATTCCCCAAAATAGGGATGGAGGAGAAAAAATGGCGAAGTTTCCCCAAATCTGCAGCATTCTCCAAATTTTTAGAGGAAAAAATGGATTCTTCAAAATGGGGATGTTGGTCTTCTTGTTTTGATGATGATTTACAAATAATTTACATCTAATATTGTTTGTTTAGTGTTTGTGTTTTATATTTATTCTAGGCAAACAATATGTTGGAGGATGGATGGAATTGCGTATTCACGGTCACATCCAATGGAGGTTGGCGGAATTGTGGATGGAAGCTACGTACATTCAAGTTAAAGATACAAGTTCATGCTTCATCCGCAAGATTACCAAGTCAAGCTATTGAAGTTCAAGATTAAGCTTGGGTAATTTAGTTTAGGAGTTTATATTATGTGTGTTAGTACCTTAAGCTCAATCATATACGCACATACACGTTTTGGTTTTCGTATATATATAGTTATATATATACATAAATGTTTTAGTTTAACATTACTCGAGTTTTAATATGAAACAATTGAATACAATTGAAAATACATTTCTTATTTCATAATTATATGCATATATATGATTTCATCAATATCAATTTTATTTAGTTCAATGAAATCATATTTATTGTTTTTAAAAAGTTTGCAAAATATGCAATTTTGTAAAAATATTGTATTCTTAGTTTTTGGACTTAACAATAATCATATACATATTTTATTAAGTCTATATAATCATTGTGTAAAGTTTCAAAACATGGTTTAGCTAAAATGTCAAAACTCATGTGTTTATATTTTTGTGTTTTGGACCTCCTTGCAAAATGATGATATTTTATATTTGGGAAGTCTTTTTTGAAAACCAATTTCTGTAGCATATTTATTATCATGTCTACAATCATTTTCCAAAGTTTTACATTTTTCTGAATTTATTTGATATTTTAAACCCTGTTTTATGTTGACATGTATTGTTTAAAACAGGCTGTGTGCATGTCATGAGTCGACTCATGAACAGTGTTGAGTCGACTCATAAACTATTGTGTAGTTTTCATTTTGTTTCTGACGAGTCGACTCATAACATCATGAGTCGACCCATCAGGTTAAGTCGACTCATGCCTATCATAAGTCGACTCATGAAGTGTGCTGGAAAACTAGTTTGTTTCTGCTGAGTCGACACATGAATTCATGAGTCGACCCATGCATGATGAGTCGACTCATGAATTTTATGAGTCGACCCATAAGTTGGTTTTTAGCCTGTAGCGGCTACTTATGAATCGACTCATGAAAAGTACGAGTCGACTCATAACACTATAACGGCTATATTTCCAGACTGTATTGTTTTTGGGTTTTTGGTCTTTTTGCCTTGTTTTCTCTTAGCTTTGGGGTTCCTATAAATACCCCCACATATCCTTAGTTCAAACTACCCAAGAAAAGTTTAAAAATAAGTTTAAGTGTGTTTTAGTTTTGTTTAAGTTTGTTTAGTGTTTGTTTAAAAGAGTTTTTGTTTGGGAAGAATTTTTACACAAGTGGAGGAGATCATCTACATCGATTGAGCTTCATCTTAATCCCTCTCTCCATCTTGTTTTTCAGAGAAGAATTTCTAAACTCTTATCTAGCTTTACATTTGCATATTTGTTTGATTATCATTCTTTAAAGCTAGTTTTTATATTGAGTTTAGATTTTATTTCACTCATTGTTTACACGCGCTCACTTGAGCTTATTGTATTTTCACATATAGTATAATTGTGGTTGTGAGAGTTTGTAACAATTGAGTGTGAGCTTACATTGTGTTCTCATCCATATTAGAGAACAATCATTTATTATACTTGTGCTTATTGTGAGGATCACTTTGTAATACACTTGTACACCGAGAGAAGTGTGTGGCGAGAGTAGGGGATCGTCCTAAGAGGAGTGGCGTCGGTTGACGAACCTAGGGAGAGGTTGTATCCGAGTACTTGAGGGAGACACGTCTAGTTCCAACACTTAGTGGGTGTAGAGTGGGATTACAAGAGTGTTGATTGTAAAGTTTTCGGTTAGCTAGAAAACCGAATGTGACGTGTAAACGTTGTTCGGGTAAGCGTAGAAAACCCGGTTGTGATAGTGGATTTCTCTCCGGGAGTGGGGAGCAGGGACATAGGACGGAAGGTCCGAACTCCGTGATCATTTGAGTGTGTTTGAGTTTGTCGTTAGCGCATTTGCTTATGCATTTATCTTATATCGCCAATTACCTTTACTCTTGTATATTTTTCCCTATCACATTTGTAGTTTGATTATATCATCCTTGTGTTAAGTTGTATATCCTTGCATATATCTCATAGTATATCTTATTGCTAGGATATATTTCTTTGTTCATATTGCTTATCCTAGCTCACATATCATACTTGCTAGGATAATTTATTAATTAGTTTTAATTGGTATAAAATCGGATTAGATTAGCATAAGACCCTAATCACCCGCCTTTAGGGTCTAACAGGGGAAGCTGTTGGAGTTGGTGTAAAAATAATTTGGAGAATATGACTTTTGCTTCCCTATTTGGAGAAAATTTTAGAAAAGCTGTTGGAGATGCCATTAGCCCAAACAGAAAGATATTTTTGTACGAATGAGAGAAAAAGAGGTTATTGCACTTCAGTCCCTTAAATCGTATTAAAACCATCAGTAATCGTCAAAAGAGTCCCTCAAATCTTGGTACTTGCTAAGAGGTCCTTCGAGTCTTTTGTTTTCTTGCAAATTCGTCCATCGTGCTTGGGTAATTTTATATGGTAATTAAAGCTTAACCACCTAACTAGAGTTAGAGGAATTAACAGAACTCCTCACGGAGCGGCGAATTGCAAGAAAATTTAAGATTTGCGGGAATTTAAGGGACAAGTCGTCAATTAAGAATGATGTAAGGGACTAATATGCAATTACCCAAAGGGCAAAACAACGCGCGGCGCTGGTTCAGTCTACGGATAAGAATTCCTATTTCCCTTACCAATTTAAACCCTGATCTTTTGGACAAATTTTCCTCCTTTTTAATTCCCGCAATCCTCAGCTCCTCCGCTGCGTTCCTTTGAGCTCCTCAGCTGCAGCAAAGATAGTAAGCTCCAAACTAACCCTAATTCCTCAACTATCAGATTTTGCTCTCTCTCTTCAATTTTTTTGCTACATTCTTTAATAAAACAGTCCCGTTCACAATCCTACTTCTTCTTCATTGATCAAAAGTTCGGTATTTGTGATCAAAATATATTTCTTTTTACCCCTTTCTTCATCTGAGTCGTTTAACGTTTCAATTTGGTTGCATTTTCGGTTCCGTACAGATCACTAAGAGGATCAAAATTGATGGCTTGGTAGATAATATGGGTTCTTTGAGATTTGGTGCTGCTCCTGAGATTTATGAGTCGAGAAGATCCAAGCTTTTGGGGCAATTTGATCCATATGTTCACAGCTTGTGCTCATCTCAATTTGGTGTGGGCTTATTGGTATATAGGAAGAAAATAGTGAGACTTGATGCTGAGAGATTATTTGGCTTCTCTTTCCATCAAAGAAAGAAGAAATCTTTGAAGATATTGGTTATTAATTCGAATCCTAATGGTAGGTTCCAACAGACTTTGGTTGATGGGTTGGAAGCAAGTGAAGGGTCTCAGTTGAATAAAGATTCCGACGAGGCTTTAGTAGGTGAAGGCTTAACTCTGATGATGAACCCGATAACTAATTCGGTGGAAATCCAGAGCAAGAGTGATGCGAATAATGTACTGAAGAAGAGTGGAAGGAAAATATGGAGTCGAGTCGTTAATATGAATAAAACAGTACAAAGAAGAGGTAAAAAACGAGTTTCTACTAGAAATAATCAATCACTGGAGCGTACAAAAGATAGTAGTAACCAAATCAAAGATGCTCTATCCACCATAAGACCTGAATCTAATGTCGAGCGCTGCAACTCTATACTTAGATTCATTGAGAGGATTAATGACGGCAAGACTATTGAATTCTTTATGTGGATGAAGGACCACGGGAAGTTGAATAAGAATGATACAGCTTATAATCTAGTGTTAAGAGCATTGGCTAGGAAGGAGCATTGGAGCATGGCTAAGTCAGTGCTCCGAGAAATGGTTTCTGATTCTGGTTGTGAATTGACTTCTCAGGTATTTAATGCACTGATTTTTGTATGTGCTAAAAGGGGGCTTGTTCAGTGGGGTTCTAAGTGGTTTCATATGATGTTAGAAAGAGGAGTGCAGCCTAATGTAGCCACAATCGGCATGCTTATGGGCCTTTACCAAAGGAATACTCATCTCCCACAAGCTGAGTACACATTCAATCAAATGAGGAGCTTCAATCTAAAATGCATCAGCGCTTACTCCTCTATGATTACCATCTGTACTCGTTTGGGATTGTACAGTAAGTCGGAAGAGGTCATTAGCTTGATGGAGGAAGATGAAGTGCTTCCTAATTTGGAGAACTGGTTGGTTCGTATTAATGCATACAGCCAGCAAGGGAAGCTAGAGGAGGCAGAATCAGTATTGAAGTCCATGCTCGCATCGGGAATATCCCCTAACATTATTGCGTATAATACATTGATTACCGGGTATGGAAAGGTGTCCAACACTATAGCTGCAAAACGATTATTTCGAAGTCTACAAAATGTTGGCTTGGAGCCAGATGAAACAAGCTACAGGTCCATGGTTGAGGGCTTTGGTCGGTCTGACAATTACAAAGAAGCATTACGATATTACACGGTAATGAAGAATGTGGGATTTAAGCCAAACTCTTCCAATTTCTACACGATGATAAACTTGCAAGCGAGGCATAGTGACCAAAACAGTGCTATTAAAACTCTCATGGATATGAGGGCAGTTGGATGCCAGTATTCATCAATTCTAAGTAGCCTTTTGCAAGCATATGAGAAGGTTGGAAGAGTACATGAACTCCCTCTCATCTTAAAAGCTTCTTTTTATGAGAATATTTTACTTGATCCGACATCGTGTTCTATTTTAGTCATGGCTTACGTGAAAAACTCCTTGCTGGAAGAAGCTCTACAAGTTCTACAAGAGAAGAAGTGGAAAGATTCTGAATTTGAAGGCAATTTATACCATTTATTAATATGTTCCTGTAAAGAGGCAGGTCAATTTGAGAACGCAGTTAAGATCTATGCTCAAATGCCAAAATCTGAGATGAATCCAAATCTCCATATTACATGTTCAATGATTGATATTTATAGTTCCCTTAACAAGTTTAATGATGCTGAAAATCTATATTTGATGCTGAAAGCCTCTGAAATAACCTTCGATATGATTGCTTACAGTATAGTTGTCAGGATGTACATTAAAGCCGGATCTCTGAAAGATGCATGTTTGGTGTTAGACGCGATGGAGAAACAAAAAGATATAGTTCCTGATACATATCTTTTCCGTGATATGCTCAGGACTTACCAACAATGTGGCTTGCTTGAAAAATTGGCGAGTGTCTACTATCGAGTACTAAGGTCTGGAATAGTGTGGGATGAGGCCATGTACAACTGTGTTATAAACTGCTGTGGCCATGCTTTGCCTGTGGATGAGCTCTCGAAGCTCTTCAACAAGATGATCCAATGTGGTTATTCTGCTAACACCATCACTTTCAATGTCATGCTTGATGTTTATGGGAAAGCCGGTCTTCTCAAAAAAGCTAGGGAGGTATTTCGAATGGCACGAAAGCAAGGTTTGCAAGATGTAATTTCTTACAATACCATTATAGCAGCATATGGAAATAATAAGGACTTTAAAAGTATGAGATCAGTTGTTAAGCAAATGCAACATGATGGGCTCCCTGTCTCCCTCGAAGCATACAATTGTATGTTACATGCTTATGGGAAGGAAGATTTATTGGAGGAATTCAATGAAGTTTTGCAGAAGATGAAGGAAGCAAGCTGCCCTTCTGATCATTACACCTACAATATCATGATAAATATATACGGGAAGAAAGGTTGGATAGAGGAAGTTGCTTGTGTGCTTGGTGAACTGAAAGAGCAAGGCATGGAACCTGATTTGTATAGCTATAATTCTTTGATCAAGGCTTATGGGATTGCTGGAATGGTTGAGGAGGCTGTTACTGTTGTGCAGCAAATGAGAGTGAAAGGCATCAAGCCTGATCGAGTAACCTTTACTAACTTAATTGCTGCTCTACAGAGGAACGAGAATTTCCTCGAGGCTGTTAAATGGTCACTCTGGATGAAACAGATGGAAATGACAAGTTAACTCAAGTGTGCTCAATATTTATGCCACATTTTGGTAATAGACGAAAATTTTCAGTTATATATTCCTCATGATCATGGATCAAATGCTAGCAGTGCTTCACCCCAAGAGTACCAAATTTATAGGTGAAATGCTTCGAAGTATTCATTGTTGACAATAACCATTTTTTGTTCTTGTCATATAATGAATCTGTCCTTCATCCTGAGCAAATATATCTTTCTTGTATCTTTGTATAACCTGTCTACCCGGTTTGTTTACACACCAGTATATTGAAATCTTAATTATACTCCAGTGGACTTCCTTTTTGAGATTAGAACTCTTCTGCAGATTGTAAAAACCTTCATGAGATGATTATTTATGCAGAAATAAAAGGGGTGACAGCTGAAGTTACTTACTTGTAGACTTGACTTATGCTTTCAAAATTAATTCTATTGTTTAGTTAGATGTAATTGGTACAGATATATATCGGAAACCGATTTATCTTTATACAAATCTTTCATAGTATTAGGAGTCTGGATCATTCTCTTTAACCATTCAATTTATAGTGTGCTTTGCAGAATAAGGTGTGGGATTGGGGTTAGTCTCATGTTTCAAAGGAAGACGGATAGATGGTTAAATATGTAAGTACATACTACATACAGTACAAATATGTTAAGTCTATTCTTTAGGTTTTTTTTTTGTCGCCATTGTCTACAGTCTATATCGAACTTGTAGTCACACTCGAGTTGCGTATCTGATAGGAAACTCGATTTCTTTCTATGCTGTTTCATATAGATGGAACCTGCCAGATGCTTTTCTCTGTTCTCCAAGTAGAACATATGCAAGCATTTTAACATCCTAAATCAGCATGTTCTTTTCTGTTTGAATAGAAATATTTTGTAGTCTATTGTCACTTTGGGACACAAGCAGCTTTCTTGGAAGACTCGGGAGAGTTTTGGGACGGTCCCGTGACCATTTTCATCTCTGACATCTGCCTCTTATATCACCAAGGTGGTTCTAATAGGACCTCTTTCTATATGTTTAACTTCTTGGACTAGCAGTATGGTGCTCTAGCTGTTGTTCATTTATGACCTCAGCAGTTCCAGTTCTTGACCAAATCAGTGCGCTTTGTTGTTTATATCTTACAGTGACATTTTACTTCTGTAGTCCTTTCCTTTTTCTTTTCTCGGCTAGATCTTGTACCTGCTTCTTGTTTTCGTTTTCGAGAGTAGGTTTTGGTTGGGTGAGCTTTATATGTTTGAGAAACGTCCTTGAATACTCCCTCCATTGCAGCCATTAACACTAGAGGAAATATACAGTTGTTTCTTTAACTTGGAGCTGACCCCAGCCATATTGCCAGAATATTATATAATCTGCAACATCCAAAATAAACGATTCAGAGAATCCGCAGAGAAAGTAGGGCGAAATTTCCAGCAGACCTTGCCTGCCCCAGGAGAACAATAGGCTCTGGTCATTCGAGCATACTTGGGAGGGATATCTGCAACCTTGACACCAATCTCCTGAACCGGTAACATATATACTGAACAGATACGAATGGATACAAAACATTCACCTTTTCGGAGACCATATTGATAGACAAGGCAGCTGTAATTGAACTTGGATTGTATGAAGGATCAGTTATTGCGAATGTGGGATGGTGGGACAAATAGATGGTATAACCCCCCCCATGCTCCCCCATGTTTCCCTCATGCTAACCCATACTCTCTTGTCCCATCTTCTTTGCCTATAAATAGGAGAGATGAGGAAGAGAGAAGTTGTGGGGAAGAAAAGAAAAAAGTGGTGAGAAGAGAAGAAAAAGATAGAGCTTGTGAGTTGTACAAGTTTGATATTCTCCTCATAGTGAAACCCCACTCCCATAGACGTAGGTAAATTTACCGAACCATGTAAATCTCGTGTATTAAACTGTGTGTTGGCTATTGCTTGTAGGTTCCATCGACATTCAGTCCTAGAACCGCTGAGAGGAAGAGTGTATATCCCACTTTGTTGATTTATTTTACTTCTGTTCTTGTTTCCTTTGTGAAACGGGAATATAGAGGTTGACTTGAGCTTTTGTGAAAACAAAAGTCAGGGTTTCTCTCAGGTGATATCGTTTTCGCGGCATGAGGACGTGACTTTACGCCTAACAATTGATGTCAGAGCTCTTTATTCAGATTATAGGTGGTAAAATTTCTAATCTGATGTGATGCTTGATTATTGTGTGGTAAGCACAAGGTATTTGTTAAAATTCCTGAGAGAAGCAGTTTTATTAATACAAGGGGAGAATGACGTCTACAAGTAAAACAGTTAAAGTTAGAAAGTAGAGATTAAAAATTTTAATGGGAAAAATGATTTTTCCTATTGGAGGATGCAGATGAAAAATTCGCTGATTTCGCAGAAATTGCACAAGACTTTGGTAGGAAAATAGAAGAAGCACAAAGATTTGTCCGATGAGGATTGGGAAGAGTTAGATCTCGAAGCACGAGCGTCGATTATCTTATGCCTTACGAGGGATGTTGCTTTCTTGGTAGATGGAGAGGAAACGGTTGCGGGCGTGTGGTCAAAGTTAGAGAGTACCTTCATGATGAAGAGTAACAAATCGGATCTATTTGAAATCCAAATTGTATACTTGCAAAATGAAGAAAGGTTCGTCAATCCGGGAGTACATCAACAAGTTCGATAAGATCATATCGGATTTGAAGAACATTAATGTGACAGTAGAAGATGAGGATCAAACACTTTTGCTACTTTTTTTTTACCGAAGTCTTATGAGAACCTGGTACAAACATTGATGTTTGTAGGAGACAATTTGATGATGGATGAGACTAGAACGACGCTTCTGACGGATGATCTTCGGAAAATTGCAAATAGTGACATGGCCATCAGTGGTAACAAGGAGCAAGCTCAGGGACTATTTGCTAGAGGAAGGGGCAATGGAAGAGGAAAATGTAAGGGAGGAAAGTCTAGATCAAAATCGAGACTTCTTGCGGGAAAGGACGTGTTTCAAATGCAGTGAGCTAGGACATTTCAAAGTTGACTGTCCTAATAAGAGAGTAGGTGGGAAGAACAACAACAACAAGACTGAGAGGAGAGAATGCAAGGAAGAAGCGAGCTATGTTTCAGAGGAAGAGAGCGAGAATGAATACTATGTCGTCATGGGTGGCGAGGATATCTCCGGGAAGTGGATTCTTGATTCAGGTTGCTCTTACCACATGTGTCCAAATAAGAAGTGGTTTACTACCTACAGAAGCATTGATGGTGGAACCGTATTGATGAAGAATCATCATGCTTGTAAAACGGTAGGGCTAGTTAATATCAAGATCAAGATGTATGATGGAGTAGTCCGAACCTTGACGGATGTGAGGCACGTTCCTGACTTACAGAAGAATCTTATCTCAGTTGGTGCATTGGACTCCGATGGTTGTAGGATTGTTACAGAGAACGGAGTGAAGAAGGTTGTTTGGGGTTTCCTAGTAGTGATGAAAGGTGTTCTTCACGATAATTTATACTCAGGTACAACGGTGACGGGAGATGTAGCGTTTAGAACTGAAGAAAGTGGTGGAGACTCATGTGAGCACACACAGTTATGGCATAGGCTGCTTGGGCACATGTCAGAGAAGGGTCTGGATCTGCTTGGTAAGGAGGGTTTGCTGAAGAATCTGAAGAAACCTTGCATGAATTTTTACGAGGATTGTGTGTACGGGAAGACGTACATGGTCCAATTCTTGAAAAACAATCACAAGAGCAGAGGTATATTAGACTATGTGCACATAGATGTGTGGGGTCCGGCTTAGACAACTTCCAAGGGTGGTTCCATGTATTTTGTGTCGTTTATAGATGATCATTCGAGGTATGCTTGGATTTATTTTCTTAAGCATAAGAATGAGGTATTCGAGACATTTAAGAAGTGGAAGGCGATGGTTGAAAACAGGACAGGGAAGAAATTAAAGACACTAAAATCTGACAATGGTACAAAATATATAGATGGTGCTTTTAAAAAGTTCTGTGATCAAGAGGGCATTATTAGACACTGGACAGTCAGATCAACACCACAGCAGAATGGGGTCGCGGAGAGGCTTAACCGTACACTGTGAGAGAAAGCAGTGAGTATGCGATTATATGCTGGTTTAGGTAAAGAATGGTGCACAGAGTCGATTGCTACAGCTTGTTACATAGTGAATCGGTCTCCACATTCTACACTGGATGGTGATACACCCTTTAGGGTGTGGTCAGGGGAACATGTAGATTATGAGAGGCTCCGGATTTTCAGGTGTACCGTCTATTATCTCGTTAATGAGGGAAAGCTTGACGCGAGGGCTAACAATGCTATATTCTTAGGGTATGCAAAGGGTGTAAAAGGCTATCGCCTTTGGTGTATAGAAGATTCGAAGTTTGTGATCAGCAGAGATATTAACTTGGATGGGAAATTTATGATTGCTAGAGCGCCCAAGATTAATGGTGTTGGGACTGTTGGGACTTCAAAGTCCCAGGTGATTGAAATAGAACCTAAGGACCAACCAGGTTCTAGTCGTGTTCAAGAGGAGGATCATGAAGATGCAGGTGATTGAAATAGAACCTAAGGACCAACCAGGTTCTAGTCGTGTTCAAGAGGAGGATCATGAAGATGATGAGCTTGAACAGGAGGAGGTTCAGCAAACCAGGTTCTAGTCGTGTTCAAGAGGAGGATCATGAAGATGATGAGCTTGAACAGGAGGAGGTTCAGCAAAACAATACACATGCACTACAACAACAACAGCTCGATGATATTTTGGCTTCCACTAGACCAAGGCGAGCATACAAACACGTACTGAAGCTAGGGTCGGATTAACCCTTGAAGCATTATAGGCAGATTAATTTGGTAGAATACGCACTCTCGGTGGAGGATGATGAGCCGGTCACCTTCAAAGAAGTTATTCGGGACAAGGATAGTGAGAGTTGGTTGGCTGCGATGGAGGAGGAGATTGAATCTCTTCGGAAAAACCAAACATGGGAGGTAGTCCTATTGCCCATAGGAAGAAAAGTTTGTAAGTGGGTGTATAAAAGAAAGGAGGATCCTTCAGAGCTTAGTGGTACAAGGTATAAGGTTAGGCTAGTGGCTAAAGGATTTGCACAAAGAGAGTGTGGATTACAATGAGATATTTTCTCCGATGGTGAAATACACTTCTATTCAGGTGCTATTGAGTATTGTTGCTCATGGTGATCTTGAGCTGGAACAACTCGATGTTAAAACGGCCTTCTTGCACGGAGACTTGGATGAAGAGATCTATATGCATTAACTTGAGGGCTACAAGGTTGAGGACAAGGAGAATCATGTG